GATTGATGAAGGGGGTCGGAGTGGCATTACGGTCCCGGGTAGGTACCTAGGTAGTTGCCGTTGATTATTTACAGCTGACGCTGTCAACTGACTAGTCGTGGCAGTCACCAAATCCCATGTCAGCAATACAGATAGTAATGTAATCGTAAAAATAAATCGATTCGTCTATCATGTTGCATCCCAGTTCTAGCGCTTTATCAATGCAATGTCCAAAAAAACACAAAAAAAGAAAATCTCGCAAAGAAAAAAAATAAAATAAAACCAAAAGTAATCCACCCTTTTCCGCAGCGGCTGCCATCACGACATTTCATACTCCGCCGCATCACCCAACCCATTTCTCCCCTCCCCAACTTTCCTTTTTTAAAATCCAGCGTGAGCCATGCTCCACGCATCCGAGCCCTCGTCGGCGGGCGTCGGCGGCGGCGGATCCAGCCTCGTCAGCGCCTTTGCAATGGCGGCCGTGATGCCTGGAATGCGCGAATGATCAAACATGTTGAAGTGGTGGCCGTCGACGTCGAGCACGTCGACAAACATGTCCTTGTCGTAGCGCTCCCACCCGAGCATCCGCTCCGCGCGGTCCGTGTCAATCGTCGCCGTCCAGTCGCGCGCGTAGAGGCTGTCCCGGGCGCGAATCAGAATCGCCGGCGGCCGGCGCGCGCCCTCCCACCGCGGCAGCTCCCACCGCGCAATCATGCGGCGCGCCTCGCGCATCGCGCGCATCGACAGCACCTGATTCTTTGTCTTGCCCGCCTCCTCCTCCCGCGCCCGTGCCTCCAGATCCTCCTCCCCGTCCTCCCCTTCCTCCATCGACACGACCTGCTGGCGACGCTCCGCCACCAGCGCCGGGTACGCGCTGTCAATCATGAGTATGCCCTTGACGCGCACGTCCTTGTCGCCGTAGAGCTGCCGCGCCACCTCGAGGCTCGTCATGCCGCCGAGACTCCAGCCGCCAATGAGGATGTCGACGGGCGCCAGGCTGCCGGCGCGCTTGGCGGGAAACGTGTCGGCGGCGACGGCGGCCTTGACCCAGGCGATGTACTGCGCGGCCATTTCCGGCACGCCGCCCTCGAAGCGCTTGCCGCTGTAAAAGTGCGGGTTGCGCACGCCGTAGACGAAGCGCTTCAGCGGCTCCAGGCAGTGGTAGGCAAAGGTGGTGCCGCCGCCGTCGTGGAACAGGAAGACGGGCGTCTTGCCGCTCCACGACTTGATGCGCGCCCAATTCTCGGGCTGGACGAGCTCGGGGTTCTCCTCAATCATGCCGGGCATTGCTATGCAATCTGATTTTTTGGGGAGCAGTTTGGCAGTTGGGCCGCGTTTGCGTTGGAACCGCGTGGTGAGAACCGGGCTTGCGGCTTTCTCCGTCTCGTTTATTGTAGGAGCGAACGTTGGTGAGTTGTCATCATACTGGGCTGGATAAGCAGGCCCAAGCTGAGTGGCGGGGCTAATCTCTACTATCGAGATACGCCAAGTCCCGCAATACCAGATGCGAATGATGAATACTAATGAAAATGCATCGGATTGTTCAACTGCATTTAAAGTGAAACGACATATTGAAATTAGTGTCATAAACCGGCTTGATTTCGCGCCTGTTGTAAACACGTACTGCGCTCACTCATTACAGGGTGGGATCGGGCAAGACGTGTCAGATCCGGCTGTCGATAACTCAACGAGGCTTTAATTACCGCTGCCGACAGTAAACTCCATTGTGTACCCGCCTTGGCGTCAACCTCACCACAAAGATAGTGTGTTACCATCAATGACAATATTTTGCTGTTGATGCGGCCACGCATGCTCGTCTACCTTTTTCTTTAATGAATCCGGTCTGCCGACACTGCCAACACTGCCGAGCTGGCTACATTGTTGGAATCTCCCAAAGTCCTTCTCACATACCATGAGTAATGTGCAATATATTACAGATATACAGTCTAGATAGCATCTGCTATTCGGACGCGCTGTCCAGATAGCCCTGAAGCTTCCACAAAAGCAAATGCAGCTGAACCATGGTTTTCGTTGGCCAGCTCTTCAGCACCAGCAACTCTTGATTCCGAAAAACGTCTGATTCGCTGCTCAGCCTAGCAGACTCTTCCTCGCCCAGCAACCAGACCAAGTCGTGCACTGGCATCTTGCTGTCATACTTTGCGCCCGCAACGTCAAAGGTTGCGTGCTGCCGCGCGGTCGCCTTGTCCTCTCCCCGCGGCAGCCACAGGACGCAGCCGCGCCGCTCGACGTCCTTGATGTCCTCCCATCCCGCGCAGGGCTGCACAAATTTGTAATTTGCCACGCCCGCTCTCCGAATGAGCTCGTCCGTCGCCTCGCGCCGCATGCTCCCGAGTACCAAGTCGCCCATGTCGTGCCGCCACACGGGCATAGCGGCCTCGGGGCTCACCCCGAGGCCGCGCCGACGCGCAAGCACTGCGCCGCGGAGTCTCTTGCTCGGCCCAGACAGCGCATCAAGTACAGATTTTTGCGACGCGACGTAGGCAGTCACCCGAGGAGCATGTTCGTCCTGTCCATCTGTGGTAGCCTTTGCGCTCGCCTCTGCCTCGGGGGACGCGGCGCTGGCGCGTGCTTGTTCGTTTCGTTGTATGTGGCCATAAGAGTCGTTGGACGGAGCGAACCAGCCTTGGTTGGTTTCTGGGTGCCGCACCACGTCGAATCGCTGCATAAAATATCGCGGTTGCTGTGTCTTGGTGACGGCGCAGAGCCTCAGGGGCGTCGCAAGGGCTTGCGCTGTGCGTTTGTTAGCCATCAACAAGCTCACGTATGCGCAGAAAGAAAATGCTGTAAAGAGAGTCGCACCGAAAGGGTTCTTTTGGAGATGCTTCTGGAACTGGCCGCCTGTACGCGGCGCTTCTTTGGCTTGCCGCCTCCGTGACTTGATCCAGGCGGGATCAAACAGGGGAGACATGGGAAGCTCCCCACCCTCTGTCGTTATCGTTTTGTTCTTCGCATCGATTGTAATTCTTTCCCCGTACTCGTCTTCGTTGAGCCGCGCGCCAACTTTTTCGAGTAGCGCTTCGTCCGTCAGAGAGGTGCTGCTATGTGACGTCCATCGCCGACCCGAGCACGCCAGACCATAGGCGTGCAATCTGCGCGGCACGTCTGTGATACATCGCTTCATTGTGCATCTGCTTGTGGCGCAAGAGGCCATTTGCACAGATGCGACAGCTCGGTGGTATCGCGATTACAAGAGGATATTCGTCGGACAAGGCATTCGCCCTGGTGCTGAAGTTTTGGGTGGAGCTCCATCCACCAAAAAACGGTGCCCCGAGCCGCCTGCTTGGAAGCTCCGAGCTCCTCTCTCCACGCGACACGCTTCTTTTAACTTGAGCTTTGCTTTCGCAACACCCAAAATCCACAAGCATGTTTCGATCCGCGAGGCTATTGCCGGCGCTGCGGCGATTGCCCACGAGGCAAGTGAGATGCTTCGGATTTTCTGGGTCATCTGGGGCGTCGCCGACGATGGACTACCTACCGATGCCGTACATTGAAGAGACCTCTGTGAGTGGCACGTCAGTGGTTCGAGTCGCAAATGCTAATCGAGGTATAGGCCGCAGGGCGAAAGACATGTATAGTTAATAACATCGTGATTGCGGCTAGCTAGAGACTGACGTGATTACAGGGGACATTTTCTCCAAGCTACTTCAGGTAGGACCCGATGACAGGCCATCAACTGCGGCGCGCTAACAATGCACAGGAGCGCATCGTTTGCCTTAACGGCGAAGTAAACGACTACATGTCCGCCTCGATTGTGGCCCAGCTGCTCTGGCTGGAATCCGACACCCCCGATAAACCAATCACCATGTACATAAATTCGCCCGGAGGCTCGGTGACGTCAGGTGAGTTGGACGCTGGCCCCAGCACACGATGCAAATGTCTGACCAATGTTGAATGCAGGAATGGCCATCTACGATACCATGACATATATCAAATCACCCGTCTCAACAGTCTGCGTCGGAGGCGCCGCATCAATGGCAGCGGTCCTGCTGGCTGGCGGCGAGGCCGGCAAGCGATACGCGCTGCCGCATAGCTCCATCATGATTCACCAGCCGCTCGGAGGAACGCGCGGCCAGGCCTCGGATATCATGATTTACGCCAACCAGATCCAAAAGATTCGCGAGCAGTCAAACAAGATTATGCGGTACCACCTAAACAAGGCCAAAGGCGACAACAAGTATACCCTAGAGGAGGTCAACGAGATGATGGAGCGGGACAAGTATCTGAGTGCGGAAGAGGCGCTTGAGCTGGGAGTCATTGACGAGATTCTGGTCAAGCGGACAGAGGCTGATGCAAAGGAGGAGAACAAGAGCCAATCTCCTGACAGTCCGTCATGAGGGCAGACTACCAAACTGCCAATGACGGGATGCACCTCTTGCCGTGGCATACAATGTACATAGTTCAAATATTGGACAATCATCAAAGGAAAAACTGTAAAGAGTCATCATGTATTTTTGCAATAACGCAGGGTTGACTGCATGGCTACATGGCTGCAGGTTGCTGGAGCTTTTCTGCCGATGTCGGATCAGGGCCAATCGATGTGGCAGGGGTATGCAGTGGATAATATATCCAGATATCGGAGCGTCCTGATCTTTGCTTTCCCTCTACTTGTTTTTGCCTTTTGAAAGCTATCACTTATGATAAGAATTGATATATCAATTTAAAAGATTCATAGTATCACTTGAAACTCCATTTCTGAGCCGGCCCAGGTAGAGTAATTTAGTTGACCCCCTAGATCGCTCTTCCAAGACGAGTTCCAAGACGATTTGGCGGCGACATGCCCAGCCAATAGCGCGCGTGGAATTACGATTATCAGCTGCAAGCGGGCCTCTCATTTTGGCGGGGAGCTTTTTGCTGAGCCGAGAGCTCCAAGTCACAGGGACAGAGATCACAGGGAAGATCACAGGGACAGACGCTAAGAAAAAAAGGGCTCAAAAATAATTGAAAAATGTCCACGTAAACTCATTTCACAATTGAACCAGTCTTGTATATTTGCCGTTTTTTTTTTCTCGTTCCAACGCGGCATCATCGGTAGTGGCGTTTTGTCAACATCACCCAGCCAGCCAGCCAGCCATTGAGACCGTTGTCGGCCGTTGTCTACTTTGTCACCATCCCTAACTTTTTTTACCTTTCCATCACACCACACCACATTCGCGCACGATGCTGTCCAATTGCCTGCGCCAACGGCCTGTCGCTGGCCTGGCCAGCTTATCCAGAGCTTCCGCCAGCATTGTCCGTGCAACACATGCCAGGTACGTGATTCAATTGGGCTGCCTGACAATGAAATGTTGCTAACGCGCCCGCAGCCGCTTTCTCTCCACAACGGCGCCTCGCCGCGCCGATGATCACAAATACAACCAGATCTCGGGCACCATCACACAGCCCAAGTCCCAGGGCGCCTCCCAGGCCATGCTGTACGCTACCGGCCTGTCCGAGGCCGACATGAACAAGGCCCAGGTCGGCATCTCGTCCGTCTGGTTCGAGGGCAATCCCTGCAACATGCACCTGCTCGACCTTTCCAAGGCCGTCCGCGATTCCGTCAAAAAGGCCGGCTTCATTCCTTACCGATTCAACACCATTGGCGTCAGCGACGGCATCTCCATGGGCACGACCGGCATGCGCTACTCCCTGCAGAGCCGCGAGATCATTGCCGACTCCATTGAGACCGTCATGAGCGGTCAGTGGTACGACGCCAACATTAGCTTGCCCGGCTGCGACAAGAACATGCCCGGCGTCGCCATTGCCATGGGCCGCGTCAACCGCCCCAGCATCATGGTCTACGGCGGCAGCATTAAGCCCGGCTGCACAAAGGCCGGCGCGCCCATCGACATTGTCTCCGCCTTTCAGGCCTACGGCCAGTATATCAGCGGCGAAATCACAGAGGAGGAGCGCTTCGACATTGTCCGCCACGCCTGTCCCGGCCAAGGCGCCTGCGGCGGCATGTACACGGCCAACACCATGGCCACCGCCATCGAGACCATTGGCCTGACCCTCCCCGGTAGCAGTAGCAATCTCGCCGACAGCCCCGAAAAGGTTGCCGAGTGCGAGAGCATCGGCGAGGCCATCAAGAACCTGCTCAAGGAAAATATCCGCCCCCGCGACATCATCACCCGCCAGGCTCTCGAAAACGCCATGGTTGTCATTACCGTTCTCGGTGGCAGCACCAATGCCGTCCTGCATCTCCTCGCCATCGCCGATGCTGCCGGCGTCAAGCTCACCATTGACGACTTCCAGAGCGTCTCGGACCGCATCCCTTTCCTTGCCGACTTGAAGCCTTCTGGCAAGTATGTCATGGCCGACCTCCACGCCATGGGCGGCACGCCTGCTCTGCTCAAGTACCTCATCAAGGAGGGCCTCATTGACGGCTCCGGCATCACCGTCACCGGCAAGACCATGAAGGAGAACGTCAAGGACGCCAACGAGTTCCCCAGCGACCAGGACATTATCCGCCCCCTTAGCAACCCCATCAAGCCTACCGGCCACATTCAGATTCTACGCGGCTCTCTCGCCCCTGGTGGTTCCGTCGGCAAGATCACCGGCAAAGAAGGTCTTCGATTTGAGGGCAAGGCCCTCGTCTACGACAGCGAGCCCGACATGATTGCCGCTCTAGAGCGCGGCGAGATCAAAAAGGGCGAAAAGTCGGTCGTCATTATTCGCTACGACGGCCCCAAGGGCGGTCCCGGCATGCCCGAGATGCTGAAGCCTTCGTCTGCCATCATGGGCGCCGGCCTCGGCCAGGACGTTGCGCTCCTCACCGACGGTCGCTACTCGGGCGGCTCGCACGGCTTCATCATTGGCCACATTGTCCCCGAGGCTATTGACGGCGGCCCGATTGCCCTTGTCAAGAACGGCGACCACATTGTCATTGACGCCGAGAAGCGCGTCATCGACCTCGAGGTTCCCGAGGAGGAAATGGCCGCCCGCAGAAAGGCCTGGAAGGCGCCTCCTCCGCGCTACACCCGCGGCACCCTGACAAAGTACGCCCGCCTCGTCACTGATGCGTCCAGCGGTTGCGTTACCGACAAGGCTCAATAGCGAGCTGGTGGGAGATGGGATGTCGTCATTGTTTGTTTTTAAATCATGATGTTTTTTAGAAAGAGAGCGCAGAAGAAAAAGCTGTCCAGTCTGGCAGAAAGTCGTATCTTGGGAGTTTGGAATACCATGTAGTGGTAGTATGTATTTGATAATTCATTCAACAACCGCAATTTCATTTTGTAAATACAGCAAAGACTGATCAATTGTAACCTCTTATTCTTTGGATGTCCGAAATGGACATACTGGGGACTTGATTCTCGTTTACTGGTACTTAAATTAGTTGAATCCTAGCACATGGATGAGGTACCGTCGGACAGGGATTATTAATAATGAATAAACCTCATTGACGATGGCCTCACACTGTGGAGCCTGCGCTAATGCGAACCACGACCAAGCAAACCCAATTGTCGCATACCCGCCATGGGAAATCCAAGGAATGAGCATCATGTCAAATCAGCGTAATTGACAATGCGAAAGCAGGGTTCGATACCATTTGAGCTTTATGCGAGTGCGGCCAGGGATCTGCGGCGCACATCAACGTCATCCGGCCGTCATGGAACAAGTACATTCACCAGGCTGTGACCAAGCCAGAGGGCTGCAACAGCTCCGCCCTTTTCTATCCGAGTATCACTTTTAAAGCTCACATATATTAAGACCCTGCATTATTGCATCAAGTTTATTCAAGGTATAAAACAAAAGAAAACTTATTCAACATGCCTGGCGAGGTCATTTCAGAGGCGAATCCGCCGCCGATGCCGAGTCAGCTGCCTGGCTCAGTCATGAATCTTGCAGCCAAGGTACCGCAGAGGGATTTGGACAAATCTACACTCGAAGGCTTGAGAAATTTTCAGAAAGCAGCATGTTATATCGCGGGAGGTGAGTTTTGGAAGAGGAACTAAACTGAAGCACCAAATGCAACGAACGGCCTGACGTGAAATTACAGCAATGATTTTCCTGAGAGACAATGTCTTGTTGGAGCGCGACCTGGAATCCAGTGACATAAAGCCCAGACTACTTGGCCATTGGGGTACTTGTCCTGGGTTGATCCTCATCTGGTCCCATGTCAATCATCTAGTCCAGCGACACGGCATTGACACTATTGTCGTCGTCGGCCCCGGCCACGGCGCGCCCGCCGTGCTGGCCTCGCTCTGGATTGAAGGATCGCTGGGAAAGTTTTATCCCGACAAGTACGATGTCGACAAGAGGGGTTTGCACAATCTCATAACTCGATTCTCCGTCCCAGGAGGGTTTCCCAGGTAAGAGTTCCACAACAAATATGGTATTTCCAAGGGAAATCAAAAAGAAAAGAAAAAAAAAAGAAAAAAAAAAGAAACAATGAACAAAGTTGATGACTGACAGAGAGTAGCCATATTAATGCGGAGACGCCAGGCGCAATCCATGAAGGCGGCGAGTTGGGCTATGCGCTGGCCGTCTCATTCGGTGCGGTCATGGACCGTCCTGACCTATTGGTAACATGCATCGTCGGCGATGGTGAAGCCGAGACAGGTCCAACAGCAGCGTAGGTACCCGGACTTTTCTATTCGAACATGGTTTAAATGCTCTCCCGTATTGTGGTGCTGACTGTCAAAGGGCCTGGCATGCTATCAAATACATCGATCCCGCCGAGTCCGGCGCCGTCCTGCCAATCCTTCATGTCAACGGTTTCAAGATAAGCGAGCGGACCATTTTTGGCTGCATGGACAACAAGGAGCTCGTGTCCCTCTTTTCCGGCTACGGATACCATGTATGCATCGTGGAAACGCTCGACAAGATTGACCACGAGCTATTCAGCGCCATGGAGTGGGCCGTCGGCGAGATTCGCGAGATACAGAAACAGGCTCGATCCGGGTCGCCCATTTCGAAGCCGAGGTGGCCAATGATTGCGCTCCGAACACCAAAGGGCTGGTCTGGGCCGAAAAAGGTGGACGGCGAGTTTATCGAGGGCTCCTTCCGCTCGCATCAAGTCCCGGTGCCGGATGCAAAGAAGAACCCGGACCATTTGCGCATCGTGCAGGACTGGCTCGGCAGCTATGGCATCCATACTCTGCTAAAGGATGGAAGCCCTTCTGAGAGTGTGCTGTCCACGCTGCCCGTCGACGCATCCAAGCGGCTAGGTCAGAACAAGCTGGCATACGACTCGTACCGCCCGCTCAAGATGCCAGCCTGGCAAGAGTTTGGCATAACCAAGGATCGCGCGGCGGCGGCGAGCAGCATGAAGATTACGGGCGGGCTCTTGAAACAAATCGCCATGGATAACCCAAAGACGTTTCGCATGTTTTCGCCCGACGAGCTCGAGAGCAACAAGCTCAATGCCATTCTCGACGCCAGCGGCCGCAACTTTCAGTGGGATCAGTATTCTCGCGCGCAAGGCGGGCGCGTCATTGAAATCTTGTCCGAGCACTGCTGCCAGGGCTTCATGCAAGGCTACACGCTTACCGGGCGTACGGCCCTCTTTCCCAGCTACGAGTCGTTTCTCGGCATCATACACACCATGATGGCGCAGTACTCCAAGTTCAACAAGGTGGCGAGAGACGTGCGCTGGAGGGGCGACTTGGCTTCCATCAACTACATTGAGACGAGCACGTGGGCGCGGCAGGAGCACAACGGCTTCTCCCACCAACAGCCGTCCTTTATCGGCGCCGTGCTGAGCCTCAAGGCCGAGGCGGCCCGCGTCTACCTACCCCCGGACGCCAACTGCTTCCTCTCCACCGTCGACCACTGCCTGCAGTCCAAGAACAAGGTCAACCTCATGATTGGGTCCAAGCAGCCCACGGCCGTCTATCTAACGCCTGATGAAGCCGCGCAACACTGCCAAAAGGGCGCGTCCATCTGGGAGTTTGCGTCCAGCGACAGCGACGGCGACGACGACGGCGAGCCCGACGTCATCCTCGTAGGGGTCGGCGTCGAAGTCACGTTTGAGATTATAAAGGCGGCGGAGCTTCTGCTCCAGATGGCCCCAGATCTGCTGCGCGTGCGGGTCGTCAATGTGACGGATCTCTTTGTCCTCGCGCCCGAGGCACGCCACCCCCACGCCCTGACCCACGACGACTTTGCCGCCCTGTTTACGCGGGACAGGCCCGTCTACTTCAACTACCACGGCTACGCGCAGGAGCTGCAGGGCCTGCTGTTTGGACACTGCAATACGCATCGTATGACGGTTAGAGGTTATAATGAGGAAGGCACGACGACGACGCCGTTTGACATGATGCTCGTCAACAATCTGAGCCGCTTCGACATTGCACAGTGGGCGTTGGAGCGAGCCGCAGAGTCTGGGCCCACGTGTAACGCCCAGCAGAAGCAGAAGCAGAAGCAGACTCGGGAGTTGATTAAACAGGTTGTGCTGCAGAAGGATGCTGTCAAGAGTTACATTATCGACAATGGGACTGGTGAGTTACTTAGGAGCAAAAGTAGAGACTTAACTTTTAACTGCAGAAGCGACAACTGACGAGAATTGCAGATCCCGATGATACATACCAAAGAGAGCAGTTTCGCCGAAAGTAGCGTAATCAAAAAGCCGGGCACAGGTGCGTCAGGTGTTTGGGGGAGACGAGACGTACTGTCAACTTGATTGTCATTGACCAGGATTGGTGAGCTTCTCCGCAAATTTTAAGAGGGATATTCATCAGGTTCCAATTGCATTCATCACAAGTCTGCAGCTGTCTCCACAGCCGTTGACAAAGAATCGCATAACTATGAGATCATGCCATATCAACTTGAGACATTTGTCCAATAAATGCATCCAACTGCTAAAGAGCACAAGAGAATAGATAAATACATCTCTTCTCCCCCCCCTTCCTCCGCAAACTCACATTGACATCTTTGCATTGCATACTTGCAGAAATGCAAGAGCGGCCGTTTTGAAAAAGGGCATAAAGTCCAAGAGCTGCCCGTCATTGTACAGCCTGCTGTAGTGCTGTATCAAGTCCCCAACGCTCCCGGCTGCTTGCTTGCAGATGGCCATGGGAAGCGTCCCGTCCAACGCAATCTCGGCCGCCTCAAGCACAAACGGTGTCAGCAGACACATGATGCCGAATTGATAACATGTGCTAATGACCAACTGTGAGCTAAAAAACAAAAAAAAAAAAAACCAACAGTACAAGACAAGAGAATTGATGAGAAGCTTACTGGCCGAATAGTATCAATGGTGTTTCAGCGGTGCAGCTGCTGGTATAGGCAAAGAAGGATTCATACCACTGCAGACTGTCTTGATAGACCTTTACTGCCTGATCCAACGTCTTTTCGGGGCTGAACCGGGCCTTGTACACCCATTCTGTAAACTCGAATAGCTTGGCGGCAATGACTTTGGGGTTATTGGGAAGGAGACTGAGGTCACGCGTGAAAAACGCATCATCTGAGATATATATATTTAGGCAAACAGATTCAACATGTTGGAAAGGGGAAGAATGTTAGGTTCTCACCGATAATGGTGCCCGATAGGTTTGTCTTTGAGCCTGAGCTGTCTGTGCTGCTGCTGCTACTTTGGAAAGGAGGCCTGGTTACACCAACTTTGACGGCCAGCTCGTCGATGGTTTTGTTATAGTCTTGAATCAAAAATAGCAATCTTTTAAACCAAGAAGAAAAAGAAAAAAAGAAAAAGGCATACCGTTAGCTGGGAATTCTGGGCGTTGAAACCAAGACTTGAAAAAAAAAAAAAAAAACGGGCAGCTTTTTTTTTCCCTTACCTATTGAATGACACGGCAGCACAATAGATATTGGCATGCGTCTGGCGATGAGTCAAGACTGACTCGAATTGATTGGCTCCCCATTGCTCGGCAATGGCAGCGCCAAAATCGCCGGCAAATCCCAGGCCGTCCTTCATCTTGGCGCAGCCGAGACAGTAGAGCGCCAGTATACCCAGCGCCTGGATATCGGCGATGCGGTGCGGTAAGCCAGCTCCGTTGTACAATGCCGCAATGGCCTCTTGCGCAAACGAGTACCCGAGGTCTTGCTCTCGCACATCATCGTCGCCGCCGCCGCCGCCGCCGCCGCTGCTGGGGCGAGAGGCTATAATGGCCACCATCTGCTCGCGAGCCAACAGAGTTGCCAGGGCAAGGAGGGCATCTGCCAGAGCGGTAGAAAAGTGCTCGCCGGAGCCGGATTCGAAATCACGGGCAAAGTCTGGCTTGCTGATGGGGCAGAAGGAAAGGCAGTCCCGTGCGAGGATGGCGTCGAGGAGTTGCGGGAGCTGCTGCCTGTAGTAGCCAATGTTGGCCTGAAGATGAGTTTCTGACGGGGACTTGACGGTTGGCGGTGTCATGACCGAAGGAACCGAACTTTTGAAGCTCTCTTGAGTAATGGACAGACGGGATCCGGGGCTCATGGGCGATGCAGTGGTGGGAGCAGAAGTTGCCGGACTGCCTAGAAGAGAGAGATTTTCCAAAGTTAGAAGGCCACACGAAGAAGAAAAGATTTTGTAAAGCAAATCAACTAGACTGCTGAATGATGAAATAGTAAAAAAGTGTTTCATTGTCGTACCCTTGCTGGTTCCGTCACGGCTATCCGGCTGTTGCGTCAACATGTCTGCCACCTCGGCGCGGGACTGGCCATCTGATAGCCTCTGCAAGATGTTGCTGAGCTGGGCGGGACTCGTATCTCGCGAAGAGATGGCATCCAGCAGCGTACTATTATCCGAGTTTATCGACTGCAGCCTGGCCAGCTCCTCGCGCAAATCGGCTTTGGAGACACGGGTGGCTGCGAAATACACGCAGTGCGCACCACTCTCATGGCATGCCTTGCAAGGGTTCAAGCCATCTCCATTGCACTACGGTTGTGGTTTTTGAGCACGAGTTAAAAAAAAACGGACTTCCCAAAGCAAAGGAAGAAAAAAAAAACAGGAAAAAAAAAGACTCAAAACACACCCAAAAGAACGGGCTTTTTTCTTCTTCTTTAAAATCTTTCTCTCACCTTTCTCTTTCTCTGACGACAGAGCTCGCACGCCTGGTGCGCCAGTGACTGCCGACGTGGCATTCTGGCATGAGCGCCCCCCTTTGTCGGCCGTGTTCTTGTTGAAAAGTGTGAGAACCTTTATAATTATAAACGCAAGGAGGAAGAAGGGAAAAAGGAAGAAGGATAGAACCCAGTCAAGGGTCAAAGTCTTTCTTGCCTGTGCGGCGGGAGAAAGTTCCGAGAAGGGGGAAAGCTTGGGGGGAGCGAGTGAAGCCGTAAGTGGCCAGAAGGGATATTTCGTTTGTGGGAGGCGGGCCGAAAGTGGCGAAGGAGGCATCAAGTTTGCGCGGGGGGAACTTCCTGAGGTAAAAGACTGAGGGCTTCATTGGATGGGTGACTCCACACTTGCACACACCCCTTTTGAATACATTGATACTCGACACACAGTTCAGCCCTTCCCCGGGGGGGGGGGGGTCGCGGGGGGGTCAAACAGCCTACCCAGTAGTCGTAAATACCGTACGTATGTATGTACTGATACAGAACAGCTACTGGGTGTAATTAGGTAGGAACCGACAGACTGGCTGCCCTAACAAAAAATCCGCGATTATGCGACTATGGGAGGAGAACCCCGATCAACTGGTAAAGCCATATTGGAGAATAAATCTGGGTACACCCTTAAAAAAAAACAATGGGGGGGGGTTCAGAATTATTGGGGTAGATTTTCGCTTCATCGACAAGCAACAACAATGCTCCGACGCAAAAAAGGCAACAACAACCCTTCCCTTGACTTGGCCCCGTATTGTGCCTGTCAGCCTGTCAGGCAGCGAGCGGGCCTGGCGAGCCGGGTAAACAGGGGAAAAAAAAAAAAAGAAAAAGAAGAGGAAAAAAGATGAAAGGGTTCAAAGAAAGACCCTTGTTGCTTGGCCATTAATACAGGAGCAAAAAAAAAAGATTTTTTTTAAAAAAAAGAGGCGCCGGATGACTTGGGGCCCGCAGCAAGAGGTTGCAGATTTGGCACTTTGCTGGGTTTGGCTATCTATGTATCAATCAATCTATCCATCTGTCCATCTATCTGTCTCTTCTCTTCTCTCTCTTCTTGTCGTCGTGCAGTCATGCCCAAAGTATGTAGTTGTGATATGCGACAGCCTCCCGCAAAAGTCGACTAAATGCTACCTCTCACGGGCATAATGAATGCATCGTGGGGGTGATTTGCCGATTTATTCTAGGCCAACCACGGCCGGCCAACTTTTGTCGGGATGAACGGGGGAAGCGGACTGATACCGGATACCAGTACCTTGGGATTTATTAGGCGATGGCTTGAATTTTAGTATCAACCTGGGGGACAAAATAGACTGCCGATAAGCCTTAACACCTGCTATAGGGACCGTCACTTACCTCGCTAGACTAGGGGTTTAAAATTATAAGATAAATACTAATAAATTCCTTAGCTACTAAAGTGTAGATAAATTAGTCGAAAACTTATATCTCGGATTATATACTAAGATGATTGCTGCTAGACTCGATACGTCGTCTGTTTTGTCTCCCGAGGGGTATCCAACTTAAAAAAACCTACGGAGTAATCCAATCCGTAGCTAGTTTAGGCTAGCGAATTTTAGCAATATATCACGCCAAAAGAAACCTTGTTCGCTTAATAAAGCCCCGCCCACACCCCGGTGATTCGGCGCCGTTTGAAAAAACAGGGTCGCTTTTTAAGGAGTAAACACTCCTCGATTTCGTTCATTGCTGGGAATAAGTCCTCCGGGCCAGTGTGGATAAGAGGAAAAAAAAAAAAAAAAAAAAGGAAAAGAGTCATGTTTCTCCAATACTACGAACCGACACTTGTCAAGCCCGCCGCCCGCCGAAGCAATGGGGAACTTGCAAGACAAGGGACAAGGGGACCAGCACTTGCAGCATTCTCGGGTGTCAGTTTTCCCCCTGCAATCATCTCGACTTTATGAATTACAATATGCTGATAGCGGGGGTTTATTATATGTGATAATCTATATTTTGTTTGATAATATCGATTCATCATGTTACATGCGTGTCCTTTGTGGACGCCGACGTATATTAAAAAAAAAAAAAGAAAAAAAAAAGGAAAAGGAAAAGGTACATTGCCGCACGCGGACACATGACCGAAGAACAAGTACCCAAACAACATGGCGTGACTATTGGTTGCCATTGAAGCGGGCATATATTACTTGATCCTGCCCATCTAGAAAGAGGTTGCAGCGTCTACTGAGCAAGATATGTATGCAGTCCTGCCCATCTGTCGAACCCAGCTCTGTGCAAATCGAGCAAATTTGCCCCGTCAAGCCGTTGAAAAATCGAGTATCCATCCCGTACATGACCGACGTAACATACGCACTTTGTTGATCCCAAAAAAATTTCATGTACTTGGCATCTGTAGAGGCTGCTGCATTTCTTAGTAGAGACAAAGTATGTTACCATGTGCAGCAGAAGGCACATCATTGGCCTAGGACCCCTTGTCCAGCAGGGGCCTTGAATATGGCATTCCAAGGGTTCTTCCATAACCGCATTTGTTGACGCCTTTTTCTGGCTGCAGTATGGCACACACACACACAGTATTTAGTAGGGCCGGGGGTCTTGCGCCTTTATCTTGCATACGAATACCAGGTACTTTTTTTCCCCCGAATTGAGGTTTTGCAAGGAGAATCTCAATCCCGAATGATTCGCGGCCGCCAAGATGGGACAAAGGACACAAAAAAGAAAAAAAAGAAAAAAAAAAAGGAAAAAAAAAAAGAAAGAAAGATACTATAGGCTGTGTGACGACGAGGACTGGCTACAGAGCCTCGCCATTTCAGCCTGCTCATCAACCCGACACACCAGTACCTTGTGTCGCGCGTTACTTTTGCCAATATCCACGACAATCTTTAACGGTTCTTCTTCATCTTCTCCTCCTCCTCCTACTCGACCGTTTGCGTCTTGATCCAGCAAAAACCCCAGACTCTCCAGCCCATCCACCACTGCTCCGCGAAGCCGCGCGCTCCCCTCACCAATGCCGCCCGCAAACACGAGCGCGTCCACACCACCACGCAGTGAGACATAGTAGCTACCCACAAATGCACATATGCGGTCGACAAGCAGGTCAAAGGCCAGCCTGCACCGGCCGTCATTTGACGACGACTCTGCAATGACGCCAAAGTCCTTGGTCCCGGCCAGAGCCTGCCAGCCGCTCTCCGAGTTGAGAATCTCTTCGGCACGGGTAATGTGCATGTATTCCGTCGACGACGATGATAGCTTGGCTGCAGAGCTGGTATAGTGAAACACGAGGCTGTTTTAATTTATTTAGTATTTTTTATTTTTTTTATTCTTTTTTTTTGTTTTTTTGTTTTTTGTGTCAGACAACTTATCCGGCCAGTGCAGCCCTCAACAAATCACGAGAGGTGTGTGTGTGTGTATGTGTGTGTGTGTGTGTGTGTGTGTGTGTGTGTGTGTGTGTGTGTGTGTGTGTGTGTGTGTGTGTGT